AAAGGTGATGATTATTTTCCTTTCCTTTTTTTTTACATATGGTTGGAAATAGGCGAACGGCTCTCTTCTTCACAGTCTTCATTCTTCGCATATATTCCACGGTGCCAGCGAAGTGGCAGGCACCTCTACAACTTCCACTCGTCCAGGTTGATCGGTTGCCCAGACTTCTTCGCCTCCCTCAAAGCATCAAGCTTTGCCTGCATCTCAGCCTCAATGCGGTCTGTTTCCCGCCGCATTGCCTCCACGTCATCTTGGTGTCGCTGCCGTTCCTTGACAATTTGCTCCAATATGGCTCTTCGTTTCCCGTCAAGCTCCTCTGAGGCCTTGCGACGCGCCTCTTCTTGCGCTGCATCAAACTGGCGCCGCGTCTCTTCCTCGTGAAGGTTTGTCTGACGCCGAAACTCCTCCTCAAGCTTGCGCGCGTTTTCGTCCCGTAGCCGCTGCTCCTCGCGCTCTCGTTCATACGCCGCATAGTCAGCCTGATGGGCGAGAGCCACCTCTATCTTGGCTTCTGCGCGTTGGAGCTCTAATGCCATTTCCTCCTCGCGCTTCTTTTGTCTTTCACGACGCGCTTCTTGCTGGCCTGTTGATTCTTGACAAACCAATTCTCGCTCCGCCGCCAGGCGTCGACGTTCGTCCTCGAGCTCCTTCTTCATCATTGCGAGGTCTCTGAGATGAGCATCCAGATGTTCTTGTTGCTTTTTCTGAACCTCAGAGTACGCGGCCAATTTTACCTTATCTTCCTCCGCTTTGCGAATCCGCGAGGCCGTTTCCTTCTCACGACGAAGCAACTCACCCTCCCACTCCCGCTGGGCGCGTGCACGTTCGAGCTCCTCCTCCCTCTCTCGCTCCCGTCGCTGCTGTAGTATACGCCATTCTTCCGCCCGCCGCTTCTCCTCAACCTCTAGTTTCTTCGCATAATCTAGCTTTGCCTTGAACGCCTCTTCAGCTTGTCTAAGTTCTTCTTGTTTTCGTTTGAACCACTCCGAGAAGCTCTGTTGGTTTGCCCCCGCGCCACGAAAACCATCTTTGTTGTCCCTGCCCATAGGAGCCGAACCTCCATACGTTCCCTTTTGGTACTGCTTGTAAACGTCCTCGAACAAGTTTTCATCGACAGGCTTTCTAGAGGCACCGCCGGCAAAGGATGGGGTGGGTGCCGGGTTTGGGGCCCTTGGGCTCGAATTGCTGCCCCGCGTCGGTCTTGGACCGTGGCGCCCGGTAGCCGTTGGCACCGGCCTGCGCCCATCGCGTAAGGCCATTTCTTGATCGTACTTTCTTCGCTTTGTGGGGGATCCAAGGACTTGATATGCATTCAGCACCAACTTGAACACGGCCTCTCCCTCGGGGTTCTTGTCCGGGTGGAGTTCGAGCGCCCTCAACTTGTAGGCTTCGCGAATACCGTCCTTGGACGCCGTCCTCGGAACCCCCAGAAGGGTGTAGTAGTCCTGCTGCTTATGCATCTGCTGGTGTGGCCTTGCTTGAAACGACTCCTGCGGCAACCGCAGTTTGGCGTTGTGGGTAGCGAGAGTGCAGCGGTTGTTGATGCGTCGCACACACACGGCAAGAGAGAGAGAGAGAGAGAGAGGAAAGAAGGGCAAAAACCAAAAATCGGAAGCCAAAAAGGAAAATAAAAATGTCAGCACTACAAGTATTATTTAACTAAATAATACTCGTCCGTCCCGCCTCAGTCGCGCACGTCGCGACCAAACCCCCAGCCACTTACAGTTATTCTCTTGCTTCGTCGTCAGTTTTTTTTTCTTTTTCCTTTTCATATCTTTTCCTTTTCTTTTCTTTTATTTCGGTCTTCTTTTTTTTTGTGTGTGTGTCTGTGTCCTCCGTCCCGCTTCCACCGATCGGCCGCGCCAGCGCAGTATAAAAGCAAGAACAAAACAAAACCAACACCAACAAAACAAAACAAAAAAGAGGCAACTCCTTAACCGCAGCCTTCCGCAGAAATACAAAGTGGACAAAAAAAAGAAAAGAGCCTTACCGGTGAAAACGAAGCCGCGCAACAGCCGCAAACACAAAAAAAAAGAGGCGCACATACAAAAACCTACATTCAAAAAAAAAAGAGAGAAAATGCGGAAAAAAGGCAAAGACAAAAAAAAAACGACACACGCACACGCACAACTGGTCAAAATCGCTTTCACGCCCCCCAACTCTACTCCGTTTTTTCGTCGTTTTTGCGTCTGCCCCGTTCCGTATCCTCCACAGAGGCCTCCCAATCCAGATCATCCAGCAGACGCTGGGACTGCTTTAAAGCCATTGGAACACGTGAAAGCAAGAAGGCCAATGCTGCAATTATAACTGCCGTTTCCCCCCAAAGCCCAATAAAGTCATGAAGGAAGTCCAGCCAAGCCAGGATAAAGCGGTTCTTGTACACGCCCAGTGTCATCTCCTGTCCCCAGCCCCCATTTCTAGCACTCATGTGACGCATGTGCTCCGGAGGCTTCATACCGTAGAGAAGGTAGTAGTTGCGAGCCTCTGGATTCACAAGAATGTCATACGCATCCTTGAGTTCCTCCAAGGCCATCTCTCGATCCTCCTCATCCTTTTCATTTTCTTCCACTTCCTTCTTCTTTGCTTCATAGGCCTTTTTTAGGTCTGCAGCATCTAACGACCGCTTGGACTTGGTGTCGTTCGCGCCCACCAGAACCCCGTATAGCTCACGATCCACCTGGGAAGCCAGGCGATTGTACGCCAACTCCACCTGCTTACTTTTGGCTTCACAGGTTCGACCACAATGCACAAGCTGTCCTCGCTGTTGCTGATGCTCCTTGTAAGCTCGACGAATTTCCTTGCGAACGCGAAAATTCTCCCGCCGACGCTCCTTATCCGCATCTTGTGCCCCTTCTTCAACCCCCGCTTTTGTGTCACTGGGCCGAAGCCGACCCTTCACACCGAGTGTCGCATAGTACTTCTCCAGCTCCTCAAGGTTCATGCCCGTGCCTTTGTCTGAGGTGACCTCCCCAAACCCTCTCCCACTTTCTATTTGAGGGGGCTCCACGTTGAACTCCATGTCGTACTTAGCGAGTGCCAAGAGAGCAACGGAGAACAGGACAAGTCCAATAAAGAAGAATCTAAACCTAAAACCGGAATCCTCATGCTGTTCTACCAGCTCATTCCACTCCGCTTGTGTGATGATGCCTCGGTTTGGGTCTCGGCGCGTGTAGCGGTTGGTGTTTGCAAGCCGCGAGCCCCCGACACGCACGCCCCGCATGACGTTGTGTCGAGCGAAGATGTCCTCCCGGGACGCACGGGCGGCGCTCTCCTCCAGCCTGTTGCGCCTCTCATTTGCCTGCTGTTGGCGTATTTGTGCCGTGCGTGGTATCATTTGACAGTACCCCGGTCGTATTCACCTCTTATCGCCGCAAGCACGAGAGAAAACGCAAAAACGAGGAGAGAAGAGGAAAGGAAAGAGCAAGCAACGATGAGTGCAGTGAGGCAAAAACAAAAAGATGAAGGGACACGCATCAAATATGAATCATAACGGGCACCTAAACCTTTTTTTTTCTTACTAAAAAAAAAGGGGGTAGGGGGGGGGGGGAAGGTAGGGAGGACAGACAAAAGAACAGACAAAT